GGGGGGGGGGGTGCACTCGGCAGCAGCGGCCTTCCACTTCTCAGCCACCCTCCTCTTGAGATTTGGAGCATCACTGCAGCACAGCATCACTGTCTTTTCTAATGAGTGCAATTCTATATACTCTGACCCTGAAGCCTCAATAAATTTAGTGAGGCTGACTCCTGAGATGCTCACAGAATCCCACTTTTAGCCTCTTTCTGCACTTCTGCCTTAGGAAAGAGACCATGCACCCCTTAAAATGACTCCCTTCCTGGCACCTTTAGGCCTCCAATGTGATGGAGAATTCTGGATAGCTAGTGATTTCTTTTGTGACTTCCAATTTAGCCATGTTGAACCACTGTGAATTTTATTTATCTGTCCATTATCTTTGCATTCCACCTTTCCTCAAACAAGCTCAAGTCAGCATACACGATTTTCCTCCTTCCCATTGTGTCCTCACACTATTGTCCTGTAAGAGTGGGTTTAGGAAGAGAAGCTGGCTTAAGGTCACCCACAGTGCTTCAGAAAGCACTCACTTCAATGTCTCCCAAAATAAAACCAAGACACATGCAGCCTGGCAAAACACAAGCGAGGAGAGGCTGCAGCAGTTTACTTTTGCCTGATCCCACTCAGAAGGACAAGCTTCTGCCTCCTCCCTGGATTACTGAATGCAAATTATTTCTGCACTGCAAACTCAGTCTCCAGCCACTGAAGTAAGCTGAGCACAAGAGGAGGAAGCTGGGACAATTTAAAGGCAGTTTTAAAAATGGGAAGGCAGAAGATTAATTATGATTATCCCTGCCAAATCAGGACATTTGGAGAATACAGAACAGAGATCTTCCAGATCTCACTCTAGCAGGTCCTCCATATTGCAGAAATAAAGCAGCTGAATACCACTTTAACTGCCACTGACTATCCTACAGAACTGTGGGATTTGTAGTTTGGTGACGTGTTGTCCATGCTCTGTCAGAGCACATTGGTTGGTGCTTCACTCCCAGGATTCTGTAGGAGAGAGCCATGGCAGCCGTATCAAACTGCTATTTCTTCAGTGTGGATACACTCCAGTACTATACTTACACAGAGTGAAGTGTTTGGTGTTTTTTAAATAAAAATTTAATCAGCACTGTGTATGTGTGTGAAAGAGAGAGAGACTCAAAATCAGGGGCATCACATAGGGGTTTGGATCGCACTAGGTAGCACCTTAAATGGGGGGGGAGACACACCATTGATCCCCAAACTTGGCTGTTGGGGTTTGCCTCTGTGTGTGTGTGTGTGTGTGTGCGCGTGCCTTCAAGTTGCTTCTGACTTATGGTGACCCTAAGAGTTTTCATTGAGTTTTCTTGGCAAGAATCTGCTCAGAAGTGGTTTGCCGTTGCCTTTCTCTGAGGCTGAGAGTATGTGACTTAACCAAAGTCACCCAGTGGGTCTCACGGCAGAGCTGGGAATCAAACCCTGGTCTCCAGAGTCTTATTCCAGCACTCAAACCATTATGCCACACCTGCATCCCTTTAAAACATTGAAGAGATGGTGTGAGTGGACTGAGGTTCGGTGGGAGGAAAAAGGAGAAGCCCCAGTTTTTAACCAAAAAAACCCCAAACTTTAATTTTTGAAAAATTATTTTAAATTTTTCTTTGAAAGCATCACTTCTTCCCAAGTTTTCACTTTAACTACATGAAACTATGTACGTGTAAATATATTCTGGTTGTGGGTATGATAAAGCAAGAGAGTCTGCATGTTGTAGTGATTTAAGCATTGGATGATGACTCTAGAGACCCAAGGTTCAAATCCGCACTCAGCCATGGAAACCCCATTGGGTGACCTTGGGCAAGTCACACTCTCTCAGCCTCAGGATGGCAATGGTGAACACACCTCTGAAGAAACTTGCCAAAAAAATCCCTTTGCTTTAAAGTCACCACAAGTCAGAAATTACTTGAAGGCACCCAACAACAACAGTATTACAAGTTCAAGATATAATTTTAAATTTTGTTAGTTGTTTATGTCCCAGCTATTGCCGTGACATTCAGTAATGATTCAGGAATAAGGATTTCTGAGTAACATGAGTTAAAAAAAACATGACTCAGGGTGCATCCACAGTGCAGAAATAATGCAGTTTGACACTGCTTTACCTGTCATGGTTCAATGCTATGGAATCTTGGGAACTGCAGTTTACTGTGGCACCAGAGCAGAGCTCTGCAGAAATAAAGCTGTTGAACACTACTTTAACTGCCATGCCTCTATACTACAGAATTGTGGGATTTGTAGCTTGGTGATGTACCGGTATGTCAGAGAAAACTACAGATTCCAAGATTCCACAGCACTGAGCCATGGCAGTTAAAGTGGTGTCAAACCGCTTTATTTCTACAGTGTGGATACACCCCAATACTACAACCACTGCACTGAGCAAGGGTTTTATTATTTATTTAGCTCTAGTGCCACAACAAACTACAGTTCCCAGAATTCCACAGCACTGAGCCACTGCCATTAAAAGGCCCCAAACACACTGCAGAAATAATCTATTTTGAAAACAGCCCTGGCTCAGTGCTAAGGAATCTTGGGAACTACAGTTCACTGTGGCCCCAGACATCTCTCTGACAGAGAAGGCTAAATGGCTCACAAAACCACAGAATTCCCTGGCATTTAGCCAGGGCAGTTAAAAGGGCTCAAACTGGATTATTTCTGCAGTGTGTTTTGAATGGGACATACTAAAATGATAGCACTTGCCCACAAAAAAACCATACTTGCCCAAAGAGAATCATTGGGGAATACTTATCCATAGGGAACCATTGCACAAGACTTGTCCATAGAGAATCATTGGAGAATATGTGCCCATAGAAAAACATTGGAGAGTACTTGCCCATAGGGAACCATTGGAGAACGCTTGCCCATAAGGAACCATTGGAGAACACTTTCCCATAGGGAACCACTGGAGAACTTTGCCCATAGGGAACCACTTGAGAACCTTGCCCATAGGGAACCATTGGAGAACACTTTCCCATAGGGAACCATTGGGGAATGCTTGCCCATAAGGAGCCATTGGAGAACACTTTCCCATAGGGAACCATTGGAGAATCTTGCCCATAGGGAACCATTGGGGAACTCTTGCCCATAGAGAATCATTGGAAAACACTTTCCCATAGGGAACCATTGAAGAACACTTTCCCATAGGGAACCATTGGGGAACGCTTGCCCATAAGGAACCATTGGGGAACGCTTGCCCATA